CAGGATTCCTGACCCACAGATACTGTGAGATAATAAATGCTGTTTTTATATGCTGCTAAGATTTGGGGTAATTTGTTATATAGCAATACATAAATAATGCAGAATCTTGGTTTTTTTATTGGGACAACAGATAACTGTTTGGTTTTTTAAACTAAAATCTCAAATGGAGGATGGGAAAGGGAGTAATTTAATCCAATCAGAGGTGTTCAGTGCCATTTGGTGAAAAAAACAATTGAAACTATATACCCCAACAAATGTTGGTTAAATTGAACCGAACTTAGAAATAAAGGGCAGGTAAAATGCAGGTGAGAGTAGAGAAGAGTAGCAATGAACAAAACAACGAATACCAGAAACTATACTATGATCAAGAGTCCTATGATAACAATATTTACTAGTCATCAAATATTTTTGAGTTTGAGTTGTGAGGAACTCCAACATCTAACTGAGGAGAATGAGCCAGCAAGGAGAGAGAGCATCTGAGAGGCAGGAAGATGACCAGGTATCGTGGAGGTCAAAAGAAGATGGTGTTGACAGTTGACAAGAGTACCAGCACCTACTGAAGCCAAAGTAAGGTGAGGGTGGAAAGGGGCTTGTGGGATTTCTGCTCTACTGGTTACTGGTAACCTGAGCACTGGCTGTGTGGGGTAGTAGCAGAGGAACTAGTTAAGCCCAAGTAGGTTTAAAAATGAGTTGGAGCAAAAGAAGCAGGGATAGTGAGTGTAGACAACTACTAAACAAATCTACAAGATATTATAAAAACAGGAAAATATTAGAAAAGGAAATATTGAAAAAGAAGTTAGCATGTGAGATAAAAGTTGCTGTGTGCTAAAACATTTTTTCAATTCAGGGTGACAAATATTAAGAGAGCAGATACAAAATGCACCTTGATACAAGTCCTGCAAACCTTTAAAATGAAAATCCTTTGCATCCCTGACCTCCAGGTGTTATATTGTCAAAGGACAAAAGACATTGTACCCTTTTAAAAGGACTTTAGAGGATTATCCAAAGAGTTGGCCACATGGAATTCTTACCTGGGAAAAGGTAAATTATGTGTTGCAAGTAAGTAATCAGATAATTTCCCTGTGTCTAGGGGACAGAAAAAGTCCAATATGCTTACAGTTTCTAGGCGAGTACAAAATAAGCCATCTTCTCTTGGAACTTTTGGTATATTTCCTTTCTTAAAAAGAGAAAAGGGTAAAATTTGATCTTTATAAATGCTGAGAAACTTTTAGACCTAAGGAAAGACTGAGTTGGGGTTGGTGAGTGAAGTGGATGGTGGGTGAAAATGGATAATTAAGCTTTGCTACTAAAGGTCAAGCATTGCAAAAGACAGAGGGAAAGAATAGATCAAAGAGAGGAATTAATATGATTACCGTCCTAAAGTTGTCTACACTTAGAGTATATTGAATGTATTCTACGTGTTCAATGTATCAAATGTACTTGAGAACATGCAGACCTTTGCATTGGTGAATATTTTAATATTAAAAAGGGCATATTACAGAAAAACTATTCTATCAAAGGAATAAACTTTTGTCTTTGAAACTTGAAATTACAAATACAAATAAAGCATGAAAAACATGCTTTGAAGCGTGCTAAAAAATCAAAATTGCACTTAGCAAACCACCTTTTCTCTGTTTAGGAACAATCTCATCAATTCCAAAACACAATATGTTAATTAAAGGATCTCAGGTAGCAATCATGGAATATTTTTCATGACAGATGAAGAACACCAATATTCTGAAGACCAAAATTGCATAAACAAAATGAAGAGACATTTTGACCATTTTCTGGCAGTCCAAAGTTAGAGGGAATGCAAATGAATGTGCTGGGAGTAAAATTACACTATTAACCATCTGAAGTTTGGGCTCATTATCTAAGAAGGCAAAGCATCAATTTGTAGCATTATAACATTCTGTTTGTGCTGCTGAACACGTGTTTGGATGTTTTTATATATTCTCTACTCATTTGATGCCTAGTAAGCACTTTTGCATCAGCCTCTTGATAGAAGTCTAATTTTATATTGTTTCTATTATATTGTCTTCTCTAATGGGAATGATATTCTGTATTAAAAATAAACACTCCATTTATTAAACAAATAATTCTGAGTTCAGGTTCTTTTATTTCTCATTATCATGTGATAATGTACACAATTGTAGATACATCTTAAAATTGAGGTACTTTTTCATTAAAAAAATTATATTCCAACAACATGAGAAAAATATTCATTCATTGAGTCACTCATTCCTTTCATTCTTTTAATGTGCATGTATTGAGTTAAGCACATCGGGAAATTCAAGGATGGTATGACAATGTCTCTGCCATCGGGATTCTTATAGCGTACAAATGGTAAAATATTATTAGTACCTTCAGACAGAACAAGCAAAGGGCCATCAAATCTCAGAGGAAAGGGAAAGCAGTATATTCCTTCATTATTTTTTGGATATATAAAATATATATACTTTATATATCCTTCAAATATTTTCTGACTACCTATAATGTAATTGGCACTGTTCTAGGGACTGTGTATATAAAAGTGAACAAGACAGTCAAGGTCCCTGAGCTCATGGACCTTGCATCCTGGGGGAGAGATGGAAAACAAGGAAGAAATCAAACAAATAAATAAAATGACTTCAGGTAGCCATAATTGCTATGAAGACTGAAACAGGACAATACAAAGGATAGTGACAGTGGGCGAAGGGTGTGAATTTGAGGTCACGAAGGCCTCTGTGAGAGATGACAGCTGAGTGGAGATTTGATGGCGTATAGGAGCAAGTGTACGACCATCTGAAGAAAATGCTTTCCAGGCGGAGACCAGTATGGAAAGGCCTTGAGGTAAAAATGAGCTTGGCATGTTCTGGAACAAAAAGAAAGCACATGACTAGAGTGTAGGAGAAGGGGAGAGTGAGAGATGAGGTCACAGAGGTGGGAAGGGGCCAGATCCTATTGACTTTTGTAGCCCATGATAAAGATATTATTCTGGGTGAGAAGGGAATCCAGCGGAGATTTTAAGCAGGGTGTGGCATGATTTGATTTACATTTTAGAAGGATCTTCTGAATGCTGTGTGGAAATCCAATTGTGGAGTAGTAGAAAAGGCAACTAGGACAGAGATTAGGCATCTATGAATCATCCAGACAAGAGATGATCGATGAGAAATGACTCAAGTAGTCTAACCTAGAGATGACAGATTAGAATCCAGTGTGGTAGTCCTGTTAGAGGTGGTTGGTTTAGATTAAGGTGATAATTATCAAGGAGATGCGAAGTGGTTCCACTTTAGGGGAAGTTTCACAAACTTCCCCTAGGGGAAGTGATGTGAAACTATTTGAGTTGAACTTTAAATGATGGGCATCATTGTGACAAAGGGGCAATCATTCATTCATTTACTGGGTGCCTACCATGAGCTGGGCCCTAGTTAGGTGTTGGAGGTATAGCAGGGCAGAAGTCCTTGCAGAGAATGAGGAGAAAACTTGCTGAAGAAGTAATATCTTAAGTAAAGATACAAAAGTAGTGAGGTGAATAATATGCTTATAAGAATTACTTCTAGAATTAGTTCTAAGGATGCTTTATTCCTTTCCTTTTAGTGTAGAAAATCATATGATTAAACTTCTTTATATACTTGACTCTCTTTGAATTTGCAAGAGTTAAGTTTCTATCAGCAGAAACTCAGTTCACTGACAGTTGGCAAATTTCATCAGATCACTTCCTTAGAAACAGTGGTTAATATTTATCTTTCTCATCCTGAGAAGGAGAAATTATAGGCTCTTTAGAAAGGAAAAGTGCAGAAGAGAATATGAAACACACAATAAGTTCATATATCTAGGTGCAACTACTACTGTTCATCTGCTACCTTGCCTCCAATCTTGCCCCCCGAATCTTTTCCCCACTGGATGACCCAATTTCAAATTTCCCTCCTTCTAATTCCTATTGTATACTGCCTCCAGAATTAACTGGCTGAAAGCAGTACAGTGGTGTCCATTCTCCAGTGCCTACAGAACAAATTTCAAATTCCTTAGCCTGACACTAACTGACCCAGCCTACTTTTTCAGCTTTACTTCTGTCCACACTCTCCACTCTCTAATTGTTTGAATCACATAGGAATTTTTCTTCCATTCTTAAAAATTATTTTTAAAATTGTGAAGTAACAAAACATAAAATTTATCACTTGAGCCATTTTTAAGTGTATGGTTATTGGCATTAAGTACATTCACATTGTTGTGCGAATCCTGTTGGATTTTAAATCACACAGTATCACTAGTTCCCTAGTGCCTGGATTGTACCTGTATTTATATGGTTCCTCCTGGCCCCTGAAATGCCTTTCCCTTTCCTTACTAGTTAAAATCCTATGTATCTTGAAGACCAGTGCTCAGATCCTACTTCCTGCTTTAGGATCCTATGAAGCCTTATCTGGAAACAGAAGGTCAACTCTGTTGCTAGGTAACATACTGCTTACAGCTAAAGTGACACCTGGTTGGCAAATTGCATTTGCCTTGGGAGGATTTATACATGAACTATAAACACCTGATGGGGATGTGATACTTTGGACTTCCCTGAGTGATGACGCTTATAATTAGGCAGGTCCCTTGTCCCTGGAGACTGAATCTATGGAGTTGTTACAAGAGATACTGCCTCTTATGGGGCATGAGGCTTCCAAATCCAGGAACATCCTGCACCCATACAATATTGATATTATCTTGCACCCGAGGTGTCACCTGAGGGGCCTGGACTGATGTTTGTACGGATAAGGACTCCTGCTGAAGAGAAACTCTAACGCTGCCCTGTTGACCAGTGGTGTTTCCTGTATTACATCCTCCTAGCTAGGTAAATCTAAAGGTGAGTATGGTCTATAGCAGTCTTGTGAGTCGGAATGTTTAGTTGGACCTCAGAAGACCTGCTTTTGGAAGTTACATAAATATGCAGAAAAGTCCTAAATACTAATATTTGTACTCTGGACTTAAAACCGCTGAGACTGAACTTAGGGCTAGGGTAATAAAGCATTGCTTACCTTTGGAAGGAGCTGGATTGCCTGTAGAATTCTTTGTCTGTGCCCAGAATTTAGGATTCCAATTTCCAACAAATCCTGATCTTCCATTACATTGCTTCCCTGAAACAAAACCAGAAATGCTACATGTTAAATCAGGCATTTTTGCTATGTGTAAAGAATGTTTTACTTAATATAGAGAAAAATAACCAACAAGCGATCTGATTTTTATAAACAAAACCATGGAGTCATTCTTCCATGAGGGCCAGGGCAGAGTTGAAGGCTCTGGGAAAGCTTCCTTCCCCTCACATACACTCTCCTGGCTTACTATTCATGGTTGGATTATCTGCATTGGGGACTTATTCCTGTGACTTCAAACTCTGCTCCTGTAAAAATGTAAATGCTTCTAGGAAGAGTTGCCATTTAGCATCATCAGTGACCTATGTGTAGATGTGAATGAATCAACTAGGGGTTTTTTTTCCCCCTAAAATCAGATGTTGAGAGAAGGACTGATACAAAAATTGAAGTATACTAGGCAGGTTAAAAGTGAGGATTAATAGTTAATCTTAAATATTGAATGCCAGTCATCTAATCAAGATGTGGGGATAGAACAGGGAATAAGATGCAGGTCCCTGGCCACAGCTGTCTTTATTCCTTCCACCCCAGCAATGGAAGCAGATTGTTCAAAGGCAGTGAGAATGCAGAGAGTGTGCTATGGTGGTGACACATGCCTGGGAGCCCAGAGGGGATCTGGGCTATGTTCTCAGAGGAGATGATGTCTAATCGGATATCTGAAGGCTAGGTAGGATTTAGCACTCAAAAGAGGAAGGACTAAGGAGAAATTATGTGCAATGTCCTGTGGCTAAGAAAGAACATAGTGTACTTGGAAGCACCACATTCTGGGATAAAGTGGAGAGAGGAGGAAAGGTAAGGCTGGAAAATTAAGCAGAAGCCAGACTATACAGACATTGTATGCCACGCTGAGGAAGTTAGACTTCATTCTGACCATAATGGGAAGCCACAGACAGATTTTAAGAAAAGAAGTTACACGATGAAATTCCAAATTTAGAAAGATCAATTTGGTTTCCATGACTGGGCCTCCCTTTCCTTACCTATAAAATGACAAAGTTGAGCCACAAGATCTCCAAGACCAGGCTAGTCTTGAGATTCTCTGATTTCAATGATTTTTAGGCCTCTTACTAATATTCGAATACAGAAATTTGTAGATTGCTTATTTTGTCCCTAAATTTTAGTCTTTTGGAGTTGGTGAGCTAGTTTCCATTTAAAGTGAGGAGTCTATAGATAAGTTCAAGAATTCAGATCACTGCTGTTGTGGACAAATCAGACTCTGTCCTATTAATGCATAACACGAAACACTTAAGAGTAGAAATTACAGAGTACCTATTTATGGAGAGCAATGGGTGCTGATGGACATTTAAAGCAAAAGAGAATTAACTGGAAAGGGCAGTCCTGGGAGCATGGCAACCATCAGGGGGCCACTCCAGGTGTTCTAGAGATGGTGTGGACTTAGTCTAAGGCAATGGTCATGAGAGACAGAAAGCAGCAGGTGGGTGTGAAAACTATCAAGAAGTTTGACTCCGTGCTTGCATGTGTAGAATAATGGAAAAATGTAGGATACCTGTTGGTTACAGGCTTGGGCAGTAGGGGTAGATCATGATGCTTTTTCCTGAGGTAAGAAAGCAGGAGGGGCCAGTCTAGTGTGGTGCAAAGTGAGACTAATGTCTTTCCAGGGAAATAGATGAATGTTAAACAATTTAATATCAGACTACATTATAAATGGATAATTGACTGTTCTTAGAAAGATTAAAGCCATTAGAATGGTACCAGAGCTGGGAATTTAAAATGGGCATTTACTGGACAAAAATATTCCACCTACTAGTAGTATCATTCTTGTGCTTAAACTACCCTGGTCGTCTCAGAGGTGGCAAAACGATCCAGGTATACAGTAACATGGTAATGAAAAGCCTAATGAAAAACAAATAAAGCCAGACTTGGCAATATGCCACAGGAAACACTGCTCTCAAGAAATTACTCAGTACACACAATAGAGCATGGCTAAGAATATAAATGACTTCATTTTGAGAGAGCATTATTATTTTCAGAAATGAACTAGTGTGTCACGAGCAGGAGATATGACAGCATTCTGCATTTGACTTTCACTCTAAGGGGTTTTCCAAAAGGAGTTAAAAGGCCCTTAAAAAATGAAACACAAAAAAACTTTGGCCACCTATATTAGACCATTACCAGGTTTTCCATGGGCTAAATTATCAGCCCACAACTTCAGTTTATGCAAAATATAGAACGTGGTTTCTTTGCACAAACACAAAAACACAAAAGGATCCTATAATCTGAATTAGCTACGCTCTACATGTAATCCTGAACTTGATTTCAGTGTTTGCATATTGAAACAGCTTGAAGAATCAAATCCTTCATGACCCCTGTTCTCCTTCTAAACCACCAGTATACCATCTTCTCTATCTTCAGTAAGGGAGGAAACTTTTTGAAGAATTGAAATGAAGTTAGACATCTTCTCTTTTGGTCAAATTTCCTAACATATAGGATAATTACCAAACACTTTTGAAAACTGGGTGAAAATTATGGGAAGCGCAATGCAAACGGTGAGAACATGCCTAAGGCGAAAGGGTAATAATTGTGGAAATGTAAAGAAAAGGATTCACTGCCCCCAATGAGGCACGCTGTTAGAAATTTTCTCTTTTCTCTCTTATTATAATAAACAGGGATACCAAAAATATCCTGGGGCATCATCTAGTCAGTCTTTTTACAAAACAGCACCGGGCTTGGAGTCTAAAGCCCTGGGTCCGAGTCTTGTCTGGGTAAACTTGAGTAAGTCACGTATTCTCTCTAGGCCTCACGTTCCTCACCCACAAAATGAAGTAGTTTAACAAACACCTGTTCAGTTCTAAAACGCTATGATTTCAGTCATGTCCAACTTTTGATTAGTATCATTATATATATATATATATGGATTGTATAGTTTGAAATTACATTTCAGTGTTTCAGAACTGGTAACCTAAAGTTACTTTCAAGAAGTAATTATAGAGAAGTGCAAGAAAGCATTTTTTAGGGGGACAAATCAATCTCACTACTAGGAACTTACAAAATTTCTTACTGAAAGAAATGATACCTTATTTTGTAGATTCATTGATTCTTACACCTTTCCAGAGAAAAATCGAGTATTTCAAAACTTACAGCTAGCCGTTACATTTGCACCTCGGTAATATTTGTCCCATCAAGGACAATAAACATTTCCATTCTTCCCAGGAGCTGGAATTTATTCTCACATTATCACCTGCCTTAACTAAATGTTAGAAAATTTCAGCTCAACTCTGTTTTTCTCAATAAAAGCTGAACAGAAACTCTAACTTTCTCCCTCTACCCTCCGTTTTTCACATGACTGCCAGATCAACGGTGTTTGGAGTAGAGCTTCATTACGTCGTCTGCTTAGTCACGCACCACACTGCACTCTACCTCCTTGTCTCCCGTTTACTCCCCCACCCACCACAATAACATTTTACTCCCATTAACTCCATAGGATTTCTCTGCCAAATATTAAGAATGACCTCTCAATTGCCATATCTAGTTGAGTTTTTTCAATCCTGATTTCAAGGACTCACTGGCCACATGTGGCTGGTGGCTACTGTATTGGACGATACAAATATAGAATGTTTCCATCGTCACAGAAAGTTCTATCAGACAGTGCTTCTCTACAGTTAAAGGCATTAAAATAGTGGCTGAATCACACAGATGAGGCACAAATGGTATATCACAGGGAATCAAAACAGGGTGTCAAAAATACTCGTGGGGAGGGGCTGGCCCCATGCCCTAGTGGTTAAGTTCGCGCACTCCGCTGCAGGCAACCTAGTGTTTCGTTGCTTCGAATCCTGGGCGCGGACATGGCACTGCTCATCAAACCACACTGAGGCAGCGTCCCACATGCCACAACTAGAAGGACCCACAACGAAGAATATACAACTATGTACTGGGGGGCTTTGGGGAGAAAAAGAAAAAAATTTTAAAACCTTTAAAAAAAAAAAATACTCGTAGGGGTCAGCCTGGTGGTGCAGGGGTTAATTGCGCATGTTCCGCTTGGGTGGCCAGGGGATCGCTGGTTCACATCCCGGGTGTGGACATGGCACCACTTGGCAAGCCATGATGTGGTAGGCATCCCACATATAAAAAAAGTAGAGGAAGATGGGCACGGATGTTAGCCCAGGGCCAGTCTTCCTCAGCAAAAACAGGAGGATTGGCAGCAGTTAGCTCAGGGCTAATCTTCCTCAAGAAAAAAAAATACTCATGAATTATTCTCAGGATATAATTGACGTGCCTCTTAGTCAAAAGTTCATGAAGACTAAATTTAGGATCTTTAGCAAATTCTCTTCTAATTTTTCAGTCATTAAAACAAATTAGTAGCTGGTTTTACTTTCATTACTGTTTCTTTATTAGGGGGCTAGAAATCTAGCTATCAAAATGACAAGTCTAAGTGAGAAGTTATTTATTATTTTCTTAGCACACTTCCAGGCACATTGCACACAGCATTTAGAGAATAATAATCAGTAGATAAGGGGTTTAGTTAAATGACTTACTAGAAAGATCAAAGGGCCAAGGCAGTGTTTTTAAAACAGCTATTCTTTCATTGACAAGAACTATCTAATCCAGGAGGTCTTTATTGCTTTCTTAAATCATGGAATAAAGAAACATAATCTAATATTTCAAGCACTGAGAGCTGAAAGCTGAAGTTTCTCTGACCATGGGGAGAATATCTTATGTATTGGATTTTTTCAGCTGTGATAAACTAATAAGATGACCAAATAGAATAAAAAGCAGTGTTTTGTACTTAGCGATCCATTAGAAATAGAACAGCTATTTATTGAAATCATCTCTCAAAAGTATCTGTACTGATCTTGTGTCTCTCAGAATTTCAGCTTGAAAAGATCTATTTTCATAACCTTAAGACCATGTCATATTCATTTAGAAACATTTCCTTCAGATTGCATATTAAATAAAAGGCTAGGGGAACATATTTAAGGACCACAGAGAATTGGTTTCTTCTTAATGTAAGCTTGAGTTGGATGTTATTTATT